GCATCAGGAGCCATGTTGCTGTGGGAGAGGGCTGTTGAAGGCCTGCCTGGATAGCACCAGTGTGTTGGGCCTGAAGACCCAGTGCCCACGTGAGTGTATTTTTGAGGTGCTGGATTAGTTCTGAACCATGAACTGGTGTCAATGCAGCTGTGAAATGGCTGCGTTTAGCTCTTGAGGAGGTAAATGGGTGTGTGAGACCACAGGAACGGGATTTTGGAGGAAGTGGCAGTGCTAGTTCTGACTGGCTTATTGCTGGCTAGAGGCACGGCTCAAAAAGAATAACTGCACAAAAGCCTTTTAGTGTTGTTGACTTGGCTTCAGATACAGGAGAAAATTATGAAGCTCCTTCTAGGGCTAAAATAAAAGGAAATAAGGGAATCAGCAATAAGACAAGAGTCCAGAAACAGTGGTGCAATTATCTCTCTAGGGTAGCTGCAGCTATCGTTTTGATATAATCTACGATGAATAAGCCACTAGATTCAACAAGTGCATGCATACTGAGAGCGTAAAGCAGTTCAGATCTTATGCTAGTATTCACAAATGTTTTTATTTTAAAAAAAGAAAAATACCCACCCTGAAAATCAGAATGTAATTACACAAAATGAAGACGAGATGATTTCTAAACAGCCTCGATTGGAGCAGGTGCTGCCAAACTAAACGAAGTGAACTGAAGGTTTCAGTGAGTATGGTAGCATGAAGGGTACTGTAGAGAAAAGCTGTGTGAACACTTTCGTACAAATCATGTGTTTAGTACAGGCCTATTTTTGAAATGCTGTTGCTTTAATAAATTAACAAACTTCTGCTCTTTGAGCTACGTTGTTCAGGTATCTCATAAGCAATGTGAATGCCTGCAAACCTAAACGGAGTGTTTAACAAACCCAGAAGACTTTAGAATGCTAACACACCTTTACGGAGTTGTTTTATCAAAGGGGAAAAGTGCTTTAGAAAGTAAATGTTAAGTACGGTTCTGATTTTTGTAGTTAATATGTGACGGTTTATCATGTCTTGACTTTGCAGGCAGTACTTTTTATCAACATCTGGGATAAAGGAAGCTAGAAATGTGGTTTGCTTAACAGGTTCAAGCTGGTCTGTATTAATTTGAACAGTTGAGATAGTGTTGGAGCTATGCTATTAACTGGAAAACTTTTGAATTCTAGTTAAGCACACTTTGATCCTGGTCATATTGGCTGCTTAAAGTGTACTTACACACAGCTTGAACCGATTTGGATGTTATTCTTCCTCTTCAGTCATTTCAGTCTTCTGCCTTGATTTGTATTCCTGCCCTCCAGCGCAATGTTACTCAGAAATCTCTCATTCTCCTGTGCAGATAGGCAAGTGCCTTTGCTCTTTGAAAACATGTTGTTGCAATTTTTACAAATCGCGGAAGAAAATTACATAATCTTAAAAGCTGTTGCTTAGGTCCCTGCATTAAATATTCATCTCTTACTATTCTATTTCCATCCCCTATCGTAAGTAGCTCAGCCCAGGCTGACGTACCTGTTTTCGGGGTGGCCGAGAGTCCTACCCGTTCTCAGCCGAGCAGCGTCCCCACACCAGGGCCTGGCCCCGCATCGAGCATTTCTGCCGGCCCCCAGGGGTGTGTGCCCGAGCTACGCGCTGAAGTTGTGGCAGTCTGAGGCTGTCACTTGAGATGGGAGGATTAGCTCTTTAATTGTCTTTACGTAAATACCAGGACAATCATAGCTTTATGTGTTGGGGCTTACTGCAATTTTTTTTCCTTAAACACCAACTCAATGAACAGCTTTTTACAATTTGTTGCTGCTCAGTCATTTTGTATGGCTTTTTAATCTCTAGAGGCCAGATGGAAGTGTGATCCTTCAGCATTACTCGTTTTGCATAATGTGGGAATTGGAACTACATTTGAATAAGCACGTAGTCATTGATGTATAAGTATATAAATATTTGTCTCTTCCATCCATGTAGTTTCTCTTCTAATACTTTCGTTTGGATTTTTTTTTTCTGTTGTTTATTTTAATTACAGTTTTCTATAGGGAAAACTGTCACAAACAAGTAAATTGTGTGCCCTGACGGAAAAGGCACAGACAAAAACAGTAATTTTGGTCAAGGAGATTTAAGAGAGAAACAGACTCTCTCTCAGTTGGTAGGTTTCTAAGGCAGCTGATGGCTTACCTTGGTTTCTGATAGAGCTGCTGTTGGACTGATCTGGAATGTTGTGGGATTCTTTTTTTCTGTAGTCTTTATTTCAACCTGCCCCAGATCCTAACTTTGATTTTAGTTGCATTTATGGATGTACTCTCCGCTGTTAAGACTGCAATCAATTGATTGAAATCCATAAATAATAAACATCAAGTTTCAATTTAAGATGCAGTAACAAGATGCTATTGGGAGAAGTTTTTATGTACTTCAGATGCTTTTTATAGCTGACTCCCTCCAGAGTCAAATCCTGACACGTTCCTAGCGCTAGGAAGCTAATGGCTTTACCGCATGTTTGTTGAAGGCCATGTGACAAATCCTATACGGCAACTGAAGGAGAGGACGCTTGTGCACCTGTTTGTGGAAGTGTTACATAAAAAGTCCTGAGACATATTTTAGCATCTACCAGTAAGCCGAGCAACTTGACCTGCTTTAGGCTTCATAGGATGTATAGTATTAAATTAACCCCAAGAAATAGAAAGGAAAAAAAAAAAGACATACTAACATGAAAAAACACATTTTATTGCACTTAAGTTATAAGAAAATAAAATTTCTAAGTGAATCAAACCATAGACACAATCCCTTTAAAGGTTGTTTTCCTCCATCATGTCAGGTTGTTACATAACTAAAATTAACCAACTGGAATCTGATTGTTTTAAATCAGACTATAAATAAAACAAAAACAAAAACAAAAAAAAAAGAGGAGGAAAAAAGATCGCCTAGGATACAGTGTTAAACCACTTTCACAGTTCAGCTTGAGTTGTGGCTCTTGGAGAATGAGGCAAACCATTTGACTCTTTAATTTCTCATTTTGTTTGCATGTGACATCTTTACAAAAACGTAAGTTTTTGCTCTGTCAGTTCCTCCCAGCAATAACTGTAACAGTTGTTTTTTTTTCTCAAATACTGTAAAACACTAAGACTGACCAGCAACTTTATTTCATTTTTGTATTTTATAATATTTTTTAAAAATTTTGTCAGTTTTTTTTTTTTTAATGTATGTTCATTCCATTCACCACAGCCCTCACAAAGAAAAATTTCCCCACAGAACAGGCTGCAATAGCTTTGTTCTAAGGAATGTGTTTTAATTTTTGCCCAGAAAAAAGAAAATAAGCTTTGCACACACACTCAATTCTTTATTTGCAGGCAAACTTCACTCTTAATTGTCTGAAACTCTTCCACTCTCAGCCTCTTAGAGGCACAGTTGGCTCAAGTTTCAGTGGCAAAAAGTCTTTTTCTGTAACCAAACTAGAGCAAATTTGGAATTCAGTCTGGGACTAAAACGTCACAGCAGAAAAAAAAATAAAAAAAAATAATTTGCTTTTCTTTCTTTCATTTAGCAGCATAAATAAGTTTGGCCACTGGGAATACAGTACAGGGGTGGGACAACAATCCCGTAATTGAAGACCTACTTCTAGCACCAGCATTGCGAATTAAATCCATCAGAGGACTCTCAAAACCCAGGACAACTTGCCACCTCAGAGCAACTTATGCATTGAAGAGTGTAGATGGAAGCAACAGTAAATAGATTAAACAGAGGCTAATACTGTGATTGACATTGGCAATGGTTGGCAAAAAAAAAAAAAAAAAAAAAAAAAAAAGGAATAAAAGAAAAAAAGAAAAAGCTCTGATAAAACTGTACAAAACAATTCACAGTAATATTTCAGCTTTTCCACACCAGGAATGGACTCTTTCTGGTTTTGCTTTTGTTTTTGTTGTCATTGCAGATGCTCTCTAGTTTTTGAAAGTCAACCAGTGACTGCTCGTAGAGGTTGGGAGGGACCTCTGGAGGTCGTCTGCTCCAACCCCTGCTCAGAGCGGGGCTAGGGGAGAGCGCGTTGCTCGGAGGGGCTGCCTGGACCCAGGGGGCCCAGGGGTGCACGAGCAGGCTTGCATGTGCAGCTTCTTTCGAGATCTTTGTGGTAAAATAACCTGTTAACAAGAACTGTAACATTTTTTTTTTCACCTCCAAATTGCTGAAGGAAGCAGTTGGAGGAAATTAAAGAAATAATTGCACCTGGTTTCATTTCAAAAGTCGTATTTTTGCAAAGCTGCCCCGGTCGAAAGTGTAGCCTTTTTATGTGACGAGACAGCAAATGCCTCACTTGTCAGTTAGAGTTCATCATCTTTGTCTTCTCCTTCGTAGTCTGTAGGTCTTTAGGATCTGTTGCCCCAAGCCAACATCCTGCACCACCAAGGACAAGGGATTTTTTTTTCCTTTTTCTTTTTTTTCTTTTTTCTTTTTTTTTTCTTTTTTTTTCAGGGGGAGGGAAAGGAGAACATCGTCTACACGTTTGGACAAATTAATCTTTCTGCCCTTCACTTCATATCCACGTCAAAGTCCAATACCAGCAGCTTTGTTTCCTCAGTCCCATTTCGGCTTCCAACCGCACACACTAGCTTTGTGTTAGAAGCTCTGATCCGCCACACGACGCCTCCACTTCCCCCACTCTCCAATGTAACTAGATTTCGGATAAATTCACCCGTTTTCAAGTCCCAAAGTTTTACAGTCCCATCATCTGAGCTGGTAATTACAAAGTTCTTGTTGAACTGTAAACAGGTCACAGCACTCTGATGCTTGTTGGGACCTAGAGGAGGAAACCAGAACATTTTTGTAATTAGAACTCAAGGACAGCCAGCGCTGCATCTAACATAAATATCCATCGATTTGCATACAGCTGTTTCTATCTATTAGATGCTTTAACCCTGTTTTTCTGCTTCAAAAGGTACAGAAGCCTTGCCCCATGTTTTCAAAAAAGTGAATGCAGGCATAGAAAAATTCCCTGTATTTCCTTCTTTGTTATAATGATCTTGTTTTGTTTACAGCAGGGCAAGTGTATACCTGGGAATTCATGAAAATGAGCGTAACCATCCAGAATGAGGTGGCCACTATGACTGTCTCCATGTCCCTTTGAAGTGTTATTACGGGATTACTCTACCAGTAAGTATTGATGGATATATAGATAAGACATATAAATTGTTAAAACAGCAGCCTGCTTTCCAGTGAAGCTTAATTTTCTGCTGTAGCTGGCATTGCTGGATATGATATAAGACCTTTTTTAGGGGGGGAACAAAACAATGTGTTCATGTGCACGATGCCCGAGTGGAAACTGAAATCTTTCTTATTACTGAACTAAAGAAAACATCTTCCACTCATTTCTTTTGATTTATTGCAATAGACAGGGTACTTTGCCTCCCGCTCCAATTAATCAGTAGGCTTTGAAACATCTAAGTGACCCCTAAATAAGTACGCTGACTGACTGTTTTGAGATGTCATTTCCTACATACTTCTGTGGCTTATTAGGCTAATACACCCATACCGAATTTCTATCAGTCCAGACCATCTGCCTTTCATAATAGGCAAGTGATTTGAATAGATTAGATTAAATACATTTTGTTCCTCTAAAGATCATACAGCTGTCATCAGAAAAAATGATATTTAAGTTGTAAATGGTCCATGGTTGTTTCTTTGCATGTCATTTTTAGAAGTTTTGACATAGGATCTGCAGCACAGATTACTGCAGGCAGCTTGATTTACATGAAGGTAGTTTGAGCTCACCTTGCAATGTCTGTAAACATTGTCCTGTTTTAATGTCCCAGATTTTGACTGTAGAATCGGCATTCCCAGACACAAGTATATTGTCCTTGAGTTCCATTCCACTTGTTAAAGACTGGTGGCCCGTCAGCGTGTGAATGCAGTTTCCTGTCTCCACATCCCAGACTCGGATGGAGGTGTCAAGAGATCCACTCACCACATGGATACCATCAAACTACAAGAAAGGTAAATCTGTTATAAGCAATTATATCAGGATCTTACAATGCTCTATATGAAGAAGGCTATTAAGCATTTAATTCACTAAATGCAATGTTAGATACTGCATATGTATATATTTGGAAATGGCATTACAAAATACAAGTTCAGTCTACATAGAGACTGAAGTGATTGTTCGATGTTAGAGCAGGCGACTTGTGGGCAGCATAATTTCCTGTTGTAGACATGGCCTAGGAGGTACTCAGCTTGAGGAGAACAACACTGAACCATTGGTCTTTCGGATGTAATACAACTCTTCTACACAGAACAGAATCTTGGCTGTGCTGCAGGGTACAACAGTAAAAGGATGCCATTTTCATAGCAAAGAATTAAAAAAGCCAAACCTGCTTTTCAGAAGTCAGGGGGGCTTTAAGCTGGAGAAGGGCAACAACATTAATCCAGAGCAAGCTATACAAAAGCCAAAACATAGGGAAATGGAGGGAATGCGATTCAAAAATGCTGGATGTAACCATTTTATAATCATAATTGTGTGCAGTAAGGAACTCTTCCTAGTCATTGTTGGGAAAAGCATACAGGCTAACACAGATGTCCAAATTCTTAGATTTTCTGGGCGTATATATATATAAAGTAAAAACATGTTAAACATGAACATGTAGAGGAATCAGCTACGAGATTAGATACTTTTGACCAAAAAGATTGGACATGTAGAGAATATAAAGGTGGAAGGTAACTTGAATGATAGCGACAATGACATAAGAGTCCAGGATTCTCAAAAAAAGGAAGGAAAAAAGAGCAGAAGAATAAAAACAGTGGGCTTCAAGGAGGAATACTTCAATAAATTGAGACTTCCTTCCCATGTGGTTTTTATATATCTATTCTCTGAGGGGAAGAAGAGTTCAGGAGAGCTGGCACTTTCTTAAAGACACAAACTATCCTTGTGTGAAGGAAAGATAGGAAGTGTAGTAAATTACCAAGACCCACTTGGCTGAAGTACAAGGAATCGTACAAAAAGTAGAAACTAGATCAATAGGTGCGTATAAATGGGACAAAATCAGAAAGGCAGAGCACAAAACAAGATAAAACTAGCAAGAGCTGCTAAGGATGATAAAACACTATTATATAAAAAAATTAAAAAAAAAAAACAAACATGAAGAAGGCCAAAAAATAACTAAAAAGCTCATTTATGTGCAGTGGAACCACGACAAGTGGGAAGGAAACACTAAATGAGGCCAGCTATTTAACTTTTTTTGTTTCAGTCCTCAGCCATCTGAGTGTAGGCTAACAGCACTGACACCGGTGACAACTGAATACAAGCTTCTGCTAGAATAGGAAAAAAATGCATAAGGCAAGTTGTTTGAAGACAATTCCAGAGACATCTGCTGCTATCTTTGAGAACTCATGGAAGATAGACAAGACTTCAGATGGCAAATACAAGTTCTCTTTTTATTGAAGGAGATTATGATGGGAGATGGGGAATTCTGGATCAGTCAGCCTAACTTCAATTTCCAGAAGAAACTAACAAATAATCTGTCTGGTTGTAAGCAATGTGGTAAGTAACAACAAATGTCCATTTTGGGAAAACGTGCTTAACCAATATTTCTTCTGTGATGGTAAAAAGCCATGTGAAACGGCAGATGTCTTGGCTGTATTTTCATCAAGATGGAGGCAAATTTGGTGCAGAGATACTTTCAGTTCAGAACTTTGTTTACCATGTTATTAGAGATATCACAAAGATTTCTGGGAGTTCTGGCAATTAGTATTTTCATTAGGACTCGTGCAACATTTAAAATGGTAAAATGAACCCAGAGCAAAGTGTAAAAGCTGAGAGAGAACTGTGAAGATGTGAACTTGGCTTGAACACATGCAGGTACAACTGCAGCCTGGGAAAATGATGACTTGGCAGGAGCCTTTGCTATAGGTAGGGCAAGGCAACACTGTCTGTCCGGACTGACTGGTATCCAGTAAAGGAGAACAGAGAACCCAGCTCTCTGACTGCTGCTTTCCATAAAGGTCTCCTAGATCTTAGAACATCTGAAATCACTGCCTGCAAATATGGTTGAGCCTGGCACTTCACTTCAAAAGAACTTAGGGAGTGACTGGCACATGCAGACTGCTTACCAGCATACACTGCAGTTCTGGTAAAGAAAATATATACTACAAACAGACACTCTGGTATCTGAAATAGACATATGCTATAAAAGGCATGTAAAATAACTTTCCAATTCTAGCAAGCATTGTTAAGACTTTGACTGGAATTTTGCATCCTGCTTTGGGCACCCTAGTTCCCAAGCAGGACGTGAACAATTTGAGTTTGGATAAAGGACCAGGAATGGTGAGTAGCCAGCACCCTTCTTGGGTGGAAACACCATGGGATGTTTTTCTTCTAAGCTGAATTTTCTCAAAGACCCTGAGAATCTGTAGATTATTTCAAAGGCAGCTAAGAAAGAGACGACTAAGAAAACACAGTATGGTCTGTAATCTTAAGTTGCTGCATAAGGATCTCTGGCAAATGGTAGGGGGTCCACAGAAGGGGAAATACTGAACTGTAAGAGAATCCACTGTGAAGCAGGGATGGGGAAGGCAGGCTGGTTATCAGCGTAATATTCTATTTATGGGAGCTGTGTTGTTTTGGGCTATCTCAGCAGGAGCTCACTATGCAATTTTAACAAATCTTCCTCTCCTAAAACTGTAAGCACCTGTAGCATTCTGCCCCCTAGAAAATTATTTTTATAATACCAAGTTCCATTTACAGGGTATAAATACTATCAGTGAGAGTAACATTACCCAACTATTTGATCCATTATTAGTACAGTATCAGAGCAAGACATTAATATTCATCAGCCAGAACAAGAGCCACTAGTGAACATAAGGCAGAATAACATACACTATTCCTCAATTGCACCAGGTGAAATAAAACTGTAATATTTTTAAGAGAGAGGAGATACAACATTTTTAACTTGTTTGCTGCTCGATACAAGAATACTCCTCAGCATATAAATGTAAGGGAAGGGCTGGAGATATCTGATAAATTTTACTGCGTATTTTTCAGAAGAAAATCAATTAGGCATCTTGTTCACATTTAATCTATTATGGTGAGAAAAACCTTATGATTAAAGAATTTAGGAAAAACGTTCTCTAGCACAGAGCTTCACTTTCTGTGCCATAATCCAGACTAGTTACATACTGAATGCTTCCTGGTTGTAAACTGTAATTGTTAATTTCTTTTTCAAGTTCTGACAGACTGTGGTGAGAACAGGCACAAGCATGAAATTAATATTTTTCTCCTTTATGTGCCTGGAAGTGATGCTTTGACTTTATGAATGAACAAGATGATCTCTTGGATTAGTAAAGGTAAGAAGAGTTGACGCATGTCTTTGCCAGCATAGGTCTGGTGAAAAGTCAGGTGACAGGTAAGCAATAAAACCATGCCACAGAGTAATACCAATATTAACCTGCATCTACAGTAACATGTCTCTGCTGACGAAGCCTCACAACTGTAAGCCTCGACTCTGAGAAAAGGAAGCACAAGACTGGAGATTTATGTCAGGGCATTCAAATTTTAGGTTTAGCCTTGCTGTGAATTACAGCTTGGAACTGGAAGATGTGACTACAAAATAAGGATAAACAGATTTGTATAATTCAGAACAATAATCCAATGAGGTATCTGGCACAATTTCAAAAACTCTATTATCTGATTTATTTAAATAGTAACATTAGAGCTTCTTTTAGGGAAACTGATAACAAAGCTTCAAAATACATGGCGGGAAAAAAAATGCAAAACCACTTAACTTGCTGGGACAGAGATCTGGGTTTTGTTGTGTTGGGTGCTTTAAAAATGCTCCTCTAAAAAAACCTCACTGTCTAAATTAAGACAACTTATAATTATTAAAAATTGGAGAGGAGACTATCACAGATGATCCTATATTCCTGTGGCCTGTACAATTCTGGAGTAGATACTCACAATTTAATAAACGAGGTGAAATACACTGACTTTAAATGCTAATTAACTAAAGCAGCAGATGCAAATCACTTACCTGTAATGAATAGACTCTGTTAGTATGCCCTTGCAGCGTGTGCAGACAGGTCTCTGTCTCTGGATCCCACACTTTGACCATAAAATCATATGCACCACTTACAACCCTTCTGCCATCATATTGAACGCACCGAACTGCAGCTACGTGGCCCATCAGAACATGTAAACACTGGCCCGTCTCTATGTCCCAAACTCTCAGTGTAGCGTCTCGAGAACCACTCACCACTCTGCAGGAACAAGAAAACCCCTCGTATACTTAGTATTGGAAATAAAAGTATTAGAACAATTAGATTGGGCTACAGATCAGTTATAAGTTATAATCTGGGACACTAGGTAGCATTTGTCCACTGGCTACCAAGACCGGGTTTGGTATGACGTTTCATTAGGGTTGCAAATGACTTGAGTGTTTTTCTTCATTGCTGTACTCACTTCTCCAGGACACATTTGATATAATTAGCAATCAGTATTTAAAAAGCACTTAATTCCTGAACAGCAAAATAATGCCATGGGAAACTGTGGACTATTATGTCCACCCATGAAAGCTTATGAATATGTCAAGTTCAAGTTAGTGCTTTGAGCATCACGTTTTAATGACTGAGTTAACTAACTGTAACAAGGAAACAAAGAAGATCTTTAGAAGTTATACTTTACTAAAAGAACAGTTATTCTGCTTGATTTTTTTTCAGTTTATACTTTTAAGAGCATTTTCAGGCAAGAACAGAAATGAAAAGGAATTAATATTAAAGGAACAGGTAAAGGAAAACTTCATCATTCTTCAAAAAAATAAGAAATACAACCAGTGGGCACTCTGTCAACTACTCCATGCCATAGCCAAGTAAGGGAGCTCTGCCAATGTTCCTTGACTCAAGACACGACATACTATTGCAGAAATTATGATGCAATCAGTTAAAATCTTAATAAAATACTGCACTAACAATACTTAAAAAGTCATTCTGCAAAATGAGTAAAAGTTTGTAACCTTTACAAAAAGCTAAGAAGAAATTGTTCACAGTGTGGGAGACTGGATCACAGCATAACAGAATTAGTTTCGAAATCAGGTAAAATGTGACTTTATAAAGTCCATGACACTTCATTTTCTGTTCTTTAATTAGCACGCTTATGCTCTTGCTTCTATTAATCATCTCCTCCCTTGTGTTGATTTATGTAGTTTAGTTTGGATGCTTTGCCCGTTTTGTGTTTCACTCAGTGTTTGATTAGGCACCCAAATTTAACAAGCATTTTCTGTAAACACGGCATAAATTACAAGCCAAACCGTGGCTGTCACTTTGGGCAAAGACTTACCTTTTCTCGTGGAGATGCATGCAGCGCACCGTGGAGGTGTGGCCGTACAAGGTGTGTATGCATTCTCCAGTCTCAGCGTTCCAGACTTTCAAAGTTCGGTCTGTGGATCCACTGATGATGATGTTGTCCCTCATCTGTGATGACCAGACTCCGCCTGTGTGTCCAACTAGCGTTCTCAAACACTGAAAATAAACGTGGGGCTCAGTTACTGTTTAGGCAGAGTTGAAGGGAAATTTAAGAAAAGTAATCAAGGAGGTAACAGTAGTCTCTCATAGCAAAAGCCAGAAGACTCCTGGAGACTTCTCTGTGCTTGAACTAAAAATTCTATCTGTTAGAAAAGGCTCATGAAATTTCTCTCTCTCTTGTTGGTACTCTGACTGTAACGAATATTCCCCATAATCTTGCTTTTGATAAAGTAAACTGTCTTTCCAAATTTCTCAATACAGGCCCTAAGTCTTTTTCTCAGTATTTTTCTGAGTCACCGAAGGTTTTCCAGGATGTTTCTGAAGCATATGTGTTAGAACTGGAGAGAGCATTCACTTAGTAGTTCTACCACCAACCTATAAGCCATATACTCCTATTTTATTTTTCTGTTTGTTTTTCCAGAAACATCACAGTCTGTAAGCAGCAGCTACAGCATCAATACAGTAAAACCGTGTTTCAAACCTTTCTCAGACTTCACTGTTGCCCAGGAGAGAATCCCCCATTACACACGCACAGCCTCCCTTCTTTGATCCTAGCTGTATGACATGATTTTTCACCATGTAGAAACAGCGTTTGCTCACACCTACTTGTATAAAACCTCACCCGCTCTGGAGCAGTGGCTTGTCTCTGCCTCTCGTTCTGTAAGTAATGGCTGTATACGGCTTTCTCATTGAGCAGCAGTGAAGTGCTAACTAGTACAGACTAGAACACATCCTTGCAAGACCCTTCTAGAAAGATACTCCATAAAGATTCTGCATTTACATTAACAATGTGATCTCTCTAATTACCCACGTTCTAACCCATTTAAATATGTGCCATGTTGATTTTCGCATTGCTCTATTTTCTTCTGCTGTGTCATGGGATGCAGTCTTGCACTGCACACGGCCATCTACCTCAGCGCTATTATTTTTATCAGTCAGACCCATATCTGCAGGAGAAAAGAGGTCAAGACTGTTTGATGATCTCTTTTTCTGTAATCTAATGCTAAGTGGCATTAATTTCCATGGCCTTCCTCTAACTGTTAGTTGACTCCTCTTCACGTAGTCCAATATTTTTTATCTGAGATAATGTATCCTAAATAAACAGTCTTTAGTTTACTCCATTTAAATAATGACACATTTTAGCTTTCTTCTCCTTTTGAAGAACCACAAGTAACTTCAGAAACAGATCAGAAAATGCAGGCTATCTGGATCAGCTGTAATAAAGAAAGCCCTAACTTTGGTAGCTGTTGTTTAACATACTTTCAAGTTTCTGCTGAAATGAAGTGTTCTATCATCACTGCACGTTCTGTTTCCATCATATGACTTTTCTCCAAAAATAAATACTTTTTCTGCATCAGTGACCAATAGTACACTAATTTCTGTTGGTAATATCCTGTTCCTTCTAACGAACATACTTGAAAATCCCTTGCTTTTCTGCTGTACATAAGATTTCTGGTTCTTTAAAATCTTTTACCAGTATTCTACAATTCCTGGCTTCTAGCTTAATTCACTGCTAACAAATCCATCGTTTTCAGTTCATAGCTTCTCTTCACTTTTACAGCTCCAAAACATTTTTTTTAATTTCAACTGATTTGTTCATATTTTAAGAAATCATCCTTCTAAAGCAGTAAGAACACAGAATCCTTATTTTGGGCTTTACATCTGTCAAGGGGATTATTTAGTCATGTTCATTTGCACAAACCAACCTTCAGGGTTCCTGTTATTAATTCTTCAGTATCAGTAAGCATAAGGGCTAATACAGCAGTCTCCCATCTTTCACATACAATACTTAGCTCTCTCTTTAAGGTTGGAGGTAAATAGTCACACTAGGATTTGTAATTACTTTCAAAAAAATTACTGAACATGAATTGATAAGTCCTGCTAGTATGATCAACTTTATATATTTAAAAGAACATTTTGCTTTTGAGAGGGTGGTACACAGAAAGCAAATATTTTTCACTTGAGCTTAGCCTGCCCTTTTCAATTAAAAAATTAAAAATTTAATATGGGTTCCATCATTAGACAGATTGTTGTAGGGAAGTCAGTAGAGGCAGGGTGAAGCTTTGCATTGCTTTTAATTTTATTCTTCCCCACAGTAGTATTTACAATCCTGTTGAGGAATTTCTAGGCATGCAAAGACAAATGCTTTACACATTCAGCTTAAACATTAAAAGTGGATACCCTTTACATCTTAAACATGTTATCCTCAAAAGCTGTCCTGGTGTTCAAGTAACTGTATCATTAAAACAAAACAAAGGATACACGAGACTAGTTTCAAAGGAAAATCTACTATTTCCCTGAGGTCATTTCTGTATCCATATAGAGCACGGACAGTCACCTTAAAACAAAAGCTGTGTGCTGAGTAGCCGTGATGTTCTAACATGAGTGAAATGTTCAGTACTGTCTTTTTGATTGCACATATTGTTTTGCTTCCCTAAGCCAAAATTAAATTATTGAAGCTTATTAAATTCCTGCCTGAGCTGGATCTAATTTAATAGGAAATATTTAAACCTAAAGCAAGTTACATTTTTTTTTCTGGCTCAGCAATATAGTGGCTTAGAACGAAAAACAAACTGTATTTGAAAACAGAGCCAGTAAAATCAACACACCATTTCAATAACTTAGAAACAACAGAAAGAATGATAGAAGACAAGTGAGATCTAGAGGGGTAAAAGCAGGCTAAATTAAGCTTTAAGGGAGATAAAGCAACATATCTGTCCAAATTCTTTAGAATCCATGTCACAAATGACTCCACAAGAATAGAAGAATTGCCAAGAGAACAAGGATATATGCCAACGGTAACATGAGCAGCATTGTAATTTCACATCAAGGTGACTTTTTTGAACTAGACTAGATTCTGTGTAGGGAAAGATGACCCAAATGTTTACCAGTATTTTTTCTGAATCTTGTGCCAGACAAACCAAAGACCATGCTGGGTGTGGCCTGATAAAACTGTGGTAGCTGATGAAACTATGGCTCCTACTAGCTCATTTCCTAAGCAATTCAGCAACATACTCAACTTACCTTGCCGGTAACTGCTGACCACACTTTTAATGTGTTGTCATCAGAGCCGCTCACTATTCGGTTACCGCAGAACTGAAGGCATGTGATGACGTGATCATCATGACCTTTGAGCACCTGACAATAAAGAACATGAAAATGTACACTCACGATTTAACTCAGGAGATCAGAGATAAGCAGGGGAAACAAAGTGCTATTCTGATTCATAAATTATAAAATGGTAGAGTAACTTCAAAAATAATATGGCCCCTTAATCCTGTGTGTCAAGTCTAATTTACTGCCAGCTGAGACCAAAGAAGGTATTTTCCTTCTTCCATGGAGTAATACTGCATTGCTTGTCAAGCATACCACAGTTATTTTAAACCTCCTACAAGTACCAGGGTAAATCGGTAATAAAAGTAGGATAAATTAGTAGCTGGACATTGCTTAATTCCTCTGCAGTTACTCCATCACATGTTCATAATCATTATTTTTCAATTTTTTTCCCCTCAGACTTTTACATTTTAAGAGTCATTTCAATCTTGAACAAAAAGCAGGGCACTGTATTATTTGCTGCATATTTGTATTTCTATGGTCAAGGCCAACCATGTCTATTGGCCCCTTACCATTGTAATCTGTTAAATGCCAGGCAGCACCAAAGTCAAAAACTATAAATAGTAAATTAAATGAAATACAAGAAAAAGAGAACATTTAAAGTGCTGGAAATGTGGATTGGAATCTAACTCCACAGATGTAGGATTTTCAATACTTGATTTGGGAAAAACTCCGGTGTATTTTACTGCAATACAGTAAAAGAATAGGTATCAGAACACACAGAAATGCTTTTATTCAAGATATCTGAGCACTCTTCAAGATGTTCATCGAAATGAAATGGGCATTTGGCTAATGCCTGAGGCTGTAATTTTAATAATAATTCCAAGATAACTTGATGTGGCGTATCAAGGCAAGAAATACAGAGCCGTTGCCAGAGATGTACATAAGTCACGGCCAAATAAACAGCAGGATATATCCATAGGGTTTTCACAGGAATTTTTTTGTTCTTACTGTTTCATTGTACAGGAATCAAGAAAACAGGGAAATTGTCTAAAAGGATATATCTTCATGTTTTTTACTGCTAGTTCAATATGAGTTTGATTAGACAGTTGCTAATTTATTTTTAAAAATGTTGCAGGTATTGCTTCGTATCTTTGTATTGGAAAGGACTTAATGAGAATATGAAATCAATATTGCTAAATATGTTAATATTTTAAAAAACAAAATCTTAATATGAAACAGAGTTACTGCCTTGTGTTGCTCAATTTATAAGAATATCTATTAAACTAAGCATGAAATGGTCATAGAATGGTTGTGGAATGTTTTTGTGTAGGTACGTGGCCCAGCTCTACAAATATGCATGTTTGTATGTTTAATTTTAAATAAAAGTACTCCCAATCAAGTCTCTGAGATTATCTCCCTCACAAGACTGGCATAGGCATTCACCAAATTCTGCAGATTTTTTTAAAACAGTAGTTCAACAATTTTGTTATATGAAGCATTGCATTTTGATTTCCTAACGTGGTGCTCAGAAATTGATGTAAAAACATGGTAAGCTAAAATACAAATCATTTCCTTTTTGTAAAACACACTGCTTTTTGTGCATGGCTAGTCTGGCTTGTCTGTAGCAAAAAGAAAAAAAAATAAATAACTGGTGCTGACCTTGCTTTGTCCATGGCACCATGTCCATAGCTCAGAAACTTACCTTAGGCGATTTAAGTTCTCCTCGCCGCCAGTTGGTATCAATCCTGTGTTGTCTAATATACGCGCTTTTCCACGGACTATGTATAAAGCCTGGTTTTATTACTTTCCTCCTTTTGATATGTAATGGTTCATCAATCCCTAAAATGGGTTAAAATAAATTAAAAAACAGAAGGGGTGGGGGGGGAAGAGGGAGTGATGAGTCCAATCCCAATAAAACAACTTCTCTCCCTCCCAAACCTTACAGTGAACTCTGAAATTAAATACTGCATCGACATAACAACCTCCTGCCAGAGGGTTCTGCTCATCTTCTCCATGCCAGGATTTGCATTTTGTCAGTGACACCACCCTGCTCTTGATACTACATCTTTCCTGGTCTTCCCAGCACAATCATTACGGTAATCATGTGGCTGAAAATGCTCTTGTTCATCACTCCTTCCTAGCAATCTACTGCCTTGGTTTTGGATCCCTTTTTCTGAGGAAATGTAGCAGAATATTGCCTTTTTCAAATAAGTATCAACCAGCAAACACCACAACCGCTCATACTCTCATTTCAAAGCCATTCAAAAAGCAATTCTTTCTTTGTGTGCACCTCCTCTCTGGTCATGCATCTTTGTTACCTTTGAGTTCACCGTGATTCTTGATATTAGTGGGCTCTTTATTTATTTTATTTTCTTTCAAAAAGCTACGCCCTTGCCTGGCTTCAATTTATGTGCAGTTGTGCCCTGGCTGAATTGGTACTTAAGAGGTAGTGCTTTGTTTCATCCTTGCTACTATAGGTTGTTGGTTTTTGTGTGTGTGTGTTGTTTTTTTCCCCCCAATTCTCTTTCTCACCCATCCATCTCTTCTACACAGCATCTCTCTCCACTGCATCTCATTACTAGCCTGAGTCTTGTCTGTTGCCACTACGTGATTTCATTCTGCTTTTAGCCCTTTTTCTAGTGTTTCTATCTGCAAGACTTGAATTAACTGTGCCTTCATATTACTGAGCACCTCACTACGTCTAAACAGGCTAAAATACTGTTTTGGTAGTGCTCTCATTCCTAGACATATTCTTACTTATTTGTACATAATTTTACGTATTATTTATTTTTTACTTCTCAGGCTCACAAATGCAGACTCATGCCTCTCAACGTTTTCCTTTTTCTCATTCTGTCCTCTTAATACATTTTTCACTGAAATTGGTAAGAGGAGAATCTTAAGATTTACGAGGTTAGACACCTGATTTCCATTGCAAAAGAACAACTCATTAATTTAGGGAGCCTTTAAAAATACCCAGGTACATTTATTCTGTCATCGTTTTTAAAGCCCTTGCATAGACCTTTCACAAGTTCTTCTCTCAGGCAGACTGGACGGTACCTGTGTTTGCCCATGTCCAGTAAGGACACTGCTCCGAGGTCAAAGGCACGTGCTCTGCCTCCAGAAACTGACTCCTTGTTCATGTATTTCTGCTTAGAAATAAAAGTTTACCTTTTTTTGTTGTTGTTGTTTTCAAATAGGAGGTTGTTTCCCTGGAATCTTTTTATTGCCCGTTCATATTGCTGCTGAACCACCGCACCTTCTTGAGTTGGCATGAGCTGTCCAATCTACAGGGCTTATGGAACTGCATCCCCTTCTCTGAGGAACCAAGTTACCACTTTCCTTCCCTACGCTATGAAATTTCTCTGTTAATTTTCCAACAACTGACATTAAATTACAGGGCCTGTTCTACCCAACCGCTGCAGTTCTTCCTCCACATTATTTACAAACTGCAAGTTTGTGCACCTATCGTTTTTCCATCTCAGCTCGTAGAGCTTTGGTTTTATTTTGAATAACACCAGTCCTGACAAAGCAAAAATAATAGTATTTTTAAAACATACCCCTAGTATACACCCTTATGAATAGGATGTTCAAACTTAAGTCTAGTTTCATTGCTAGCAGTCCACAGATTATTCCTGCTTCCTACTTCCTACACAGATATGCACCACATAGCTCAAACTGGTAAATTTAAAGTCATCTGAATTCCCTTTGTAAAACTTTAAGCTTATTATGTAAATGAACTGCACTTTTTATGGCAGCAACACCGTTACATTCATCTTCTTGCTCAGCCTTACCCTCCTCTTTGCATTTCTCTCTCCAGAGAAGATTATCTTCAGCCAGAATCCTCCAGTAACGGCATGTCTGGGCTGCCTGCAGAAGGTCCCTGGGTTCCAGGAATGACAGCACATACAGTGCCAGCTGTGAAAAAAAGGGAGCATATTTTCTCAATTGCTTTTGAAAGGAAAAGGGAAGTAACTCAAAGTATTATCACACATCGGAGGCTGAAATACGGAAAATTGAAACAATAAATTATTAAATGTTCTCAGAAACTTAACAGAGCTACAGTTTGTTCCAGTGCGCACATGAAAAGTATAGCAATCATCTTAGATAACTAAATCCATATAGATCACATCAAAAATGTATATTATTTGCAGGAGAATAGATGTCAGCTGAAATCACTGGCTATTATGCTTTTTTTAAATGTCATCCATATTACCATGAACCATTACCGGCTGTACCAAAATAATCCTGTCTCCAATATTTTATCTAATAAATGTACCAGAAGTTTTTAACCGGAAAACACAATGCTACGTGACCAAATGAGGAACGCTGTGATGAATAACATCATGCAGGAAGCTCAAATATAGAAAACATAAATGCTATTTGTACTCAAGTTCAAAAGTACTCCACAGCTGCAGAAGCCCAGCATACACATTGCTCAATTTCTGATTAGAATGCAAACATACAGGGATGTTACAGGGACTTTGATGGACCTGGATGCGGAGGGCCTGAAATACATAACTTTGCTATTGCACATAGTATGTGTTACCAAAAAAAAAAAAACACATGGGAAATCCCAATAAGCAGCATAAGACAAACTGAAGTTGAACTTTTCTGTGTGACAACATTAAATGTTACTGGCAGCACTCAGAGCACAGCTGACTGAGCTAAGCCATATAATGACCATGATAAAAGCCCCAAATCTCCAGAAATACCTTCAGATGTGCTGGAGTATTAAACAGGGACTGAGGCATCTCAAACACAATCCAAAATACAGGGACTGATACCCTTAAGGGTATCATGGATGACTACAGCTTTTCTACTGAACAGCAACAATGTATTTTCCCAGTCACTGAGAATAAAAACATAAGAGGCAGCAAAGTGGCTGCTATGGCTAAAAACTCAAAAGGAAACATTGCTGATAAAAAGTGATGCACAACAACTACTTACATTTGGAAATAGTGGGGTCTTTGTCAGGACTAGGATGCAAAAGTTATCAGGGAAATCATATCATCCACGTTAACTGCTGCTTGACATATCTTTTTGTGCTTACAATTTTTGTATTTAATTCTTAACTGGAGTTGTGTTGTGTATAAATAGAATCTGCCCTTTAAAGAAGCATAAACTGAAATTCAGTAAGGAAGTCATAACCATAGGCCACTGACCTCAGAAGATTTTTGACCTTATTACGTGAGAAACATTTGCTTTTAGTAATGTAGCCCCATCTGTGACTGAGCAGGAAATAAAAATTCAGTATGCCAGGACTGTTTGCATTTTGATTGCACTTACATGCCTTGTTTGCAAGTCACCACCTGCAGCCCACAGCAAGCATGCAGGACTCCACATTTGCAGAATCTGTGCCCCAGCTTGCACGTTAGCTCCCATGTGCATCCCAGGCCATGCAGCTGCAGAACAGTCACTCTGTCCCTACTCAATTATGGAGTCAGAATTTAGGCTTTGCTGAAAGGCTCTCTGATACATGAGCAACAACTGTGCCCGTCCTTTTAGACTTTCTGACTCAATTCCTGATATGTAAAAATATTGAAGAAACCCTGTTTCCTAACATACATCAGACAGCTGGTCACACACAGCAAGACTCAAAGCACGGAACAGAGCCTTTCCATTTCTGCTGGATGTTCCTTAACCGAGAGAAGAGTTTGTTTAAATATCACCTGTCCTATCTATACAGGTATGAATGTTTGCTAAGGTAGCGTTAATTAAAATCTGTGAGCCGAATGATTTTTAAAACAGGTTACATATGGGTGACATTTATTTTAGACTATATTTGGCTAAGTAGTCATCAAGGGTCAACACAACTCACAGTTGACTTTAGGATTAGCAGCACACAAAAGCTGAAGGCCCTCTGTCACTGTTCACGGATCTAGTTATAAGAAGGCTTCAGGTAGCAAAGATCGATCTTTGACTCAGCTGTACCTAGTCCTACTCCCCTTTGCAGTGTTAATAATACCCAACAACACGCTGTCGCTCACTTTCTCTTCCACTCATACCATGGCACCAACAAGACTTTGGCGGATTTCAACAACACTCCTCATCTGTTGATTTCCAGACCTGGTTTTCACAAACAAGTAATTTCAATAATTATTTCTAATTGCTCCGTGAGAAAACAAGTATTATTTCAGATTAATTGTTTGACTGCAGGTTTCCTCAGGAGGAAAGCAAACATTTTCTTGGTTATTCAGGTATTAAGTTACTGTCTCTCTATTGCTGAAAGCATTTCTGAAGAAGCGGCCTCCTGCTCGAATGTGCTTCCTGTCCTGGTTAGGTAATAAAATCCCCACACTGCATACCACAACACGACGTGGGAGATACCTGGAGATGTTAATGCAGAGTGACAACTCAAGAGAGCGTGCATTCACAGGATGCTGGCTTTGGTAGGGAAGCCTGCTTACAGAATTACTGACCCTACCAAATTATTCTTGCTTCCCCCCACTTACTCATCACCCCCTGCTGAAGCCAGCAGGGGTGGCAGGGGACAGAAGCGATCTGGGTTAATGATCTCCAAAATGGAGGCGAGATGGCGTTAGCTTGATTTTTTTGTTTTGTTAACTCAGTTGATTTTGGTGACAGTGACTGGGGGCTAGGAAGCAAAAATGATTTAAGCCAGCTTCCATGGACAAGCCAGCCTCTCATGAAACTAAACACTTGACAATCCTGGTTTCAAGAGGCAAGCACAACCACTAAAAATAAATAAAATTGAACACACACGTATCTTACGGTGGAGTTAAAGAACAAATAAGAGAGAAGAAATATTTTACAGCTAAATAGCAAAGCCTTGTAGTGAAGAAACTGCTAAAACTGAGTAGCAATGATCATTAATAACTGGTTGTACTTGAGTTAGTTTTGGCATTAAGTCAGGCAAAGAAAGCTAACTCGGCTGTGAGTTACTGCTATCAATTATTGAGATTTTTGATTTAATAAGAAGTGCAGAAGTGACAAAATATCTTCTGTTTTCCCAAAATCTAAATAGCATCTTTCTTCCTCTGCCTCTGAACTAAGGCTGCCTTGGGCAGTTTCTTTATGAAGGTGGCAACAACCCAGAGATCTTACTAGACCCTTCTCCTCCCGCTGCATCCCCTACATACATGAAGGCTACCACACAGTGCTTCTGTAAATACTTGCATCATGTGCACTAAGTCAACATTCACTGCATAAACTGCTCCCGAGCCTTACAAACGCTAACCAACAAAACCCAGGGGAAGGCTGTGACATTTCCTAATCCACAGAGATATGATAGTAGATAAACGGGA